ATTTTCTTCCAGGCTTTTCTCTTACCAACCTCAACATGATAAAAACATAAAGCCCCCATTTTTTGTTGTTTTAATGAATTGTTGTTGTTTGGTTATGGCTTTAACAATGGTGTTTCGTTGTTGTGTTTGGTAGTTGAATGGAACTGTTTCAAGGGGAGAAAAATGAACCCGGAGCCTGGGAGGTGTCGAAGAACTGATGGCAAAAAAATGGAGATGCTCGAAACAAGCTTACATTGATTCCAAGTACTGTGAAAGACACATGCATAAAGGCAAAAACTGTTCGAGAAAGCCTATGGAACCTAGTGCTACAACAATGGCGAACATTCCGACAACAACCAAAATCTTATCCTTAAGCTTGTCTTCCTCCGATAATCAAAAAGATCGCCATGGAATCGGTTATACCGGTTTTCAGTCTCAACTCAATGACCCCTTCATGTATCCCCATATGCCTCAAGAGCTATCAACATTGGGCTGTCACTTCAAACACATGTCACTGAACCTTGTAGGAGCTTCTCAAGTTCATCAATGGAGGATTCATGGCAATTTATGTCATTAATAACGAGCTCATCTTCTTTAAACCATAGGACAACAATACATCATTTCTTTGGTGAATGGCCACCAAAACATCGAAACTCATCATGGTTTCTTTGCACGAGACAAAAGAGAACTGTGGGATGAGCATGAAGATGAAATTTGAAGAAGAAAGACTCATGAAATATGGTGGTTATGGAGATGAAAGAGTGGAGATGGAAGAGAAGTGTAGGTCAAAATAATGGTCAACCGTCATAGTAATAGTTGTTAACGTCGAGTGATCAATTTGTAACAAACGATAACATTAGTGACAAATTTATGACTTTCGAAACATCAGTGGTGAAAATAAAAACTTACTCAAACATTAGTGTCCATTTGCGTAGTTTACCCTTTTTAAAATTGAATGGTTTATAAAATAATTATAAATTTATACCGATTACTCTACTACCCAACTTACGGATATCTATTTTTGTGGATACCCTACTTATAAATACCTAATTTTTATAGGGTAAAGTGTACAAATTGTTCCTGATTATAGAGAGTTACTTTGTTGAGTCACTCAACTATTAAAACTTATAAAATGGTCCCTCGGTTATAAGACATTACTTTGTTAAATTCTTCGACAATTAAAAGTTACAAACTGATCAACTAGTCATTTTTTGTTAAAAAATTGGCAGTCGTTTGAGTTGGACGTTAACTTTTTGAATAAGATATGATAAAATTTGATCCACAAAATACAACTCAAATGGTTATGGGATCAGATTTTATCCTTTCATAGTTAGCTGGTTAACGTCCAGCTCAGACACTCATCAAATTTTTTACGGAAAAATATAAGTTTAGAACATATAAATAGTCAGATAATCATTTTATACTTTTTAATAGTTGATGGACTCAACAAAACAATGTACTATAGTCAATGATCATTTTGTAACTTTTGTCAGTCAATTGACTTAACATAACAACGCCATATAATCATCAAATCATTTGTGTATTTTACCCATTATTATATATCAAAACATGAACCGATATTTTTACTAGTAAAAAATGATTACATTAAATATAAGTACCCAACTATGACCAATAATTTCTATTATAACAAATCTTTAGGGAAGACCCCTAATATTTTAAAGATAGTTTGGTAATGAGCGAGGCCATGTGCCCATCTTTCCGTTTTCAGAAAGAGCAAAGTCAGGCTCAGGTTGAAACTAATTCCATTGAATCATGGAGCGATGTCATAGGCAACGAGGGGCATCTGGCCTCAAGGAAATTAGGTCCAGGTCGAGTCTGTGCGGAACGTGGAATGCTGTTCAACCAGTTAGGCTGCATGGGTAATTGGATTGCCAAACTCATTATATTCCTTTATTCTTGCTTCAATATAAAAGTTCAGTAGTTTCTTGAATCGATTGAGTTGAGTGTTTTCAGTAATAAATATAATATTATTTTTATTGAAAATTTAGGTTCGAACAGTTATATTTTACAATGTATATATAGGTTATTATAAACTAATAAAATTTATGAATAGATACTACATTCATATTAATTTATAAAAATTACGTCTTCATTATGTACTAAATAGTTTATCACACTTATAACTACTATTCATTTTAATTTATTAAACAAGTGGTTATGAATATAATCTTTAATATATTGTTGGTGAGATTTTTTTAATACGGTTAATCTGATTAAAAGATACGTGTAAAATTAGTTTTTTTACCCATGTGTTGTAATAACTAAATTTTATTAAATATAATAAATTTTAAGGTAAAGTACACAAATGGTCCATCGATTATAGGATACTACTTTGTTGAGTATTTTGACTATCAAAAGTTACAAAATGGTCACCCGACTATTCATTATATTCCAAACTCGTCCTTTTCCGTTAAAAATTGACGACAATCTGAGCTGAACGTTAGTCTGCTGACTGAGATATTATAAAATTTGATTTCATAATCTCAAACGAGTATCATATTTCAGTCAGAATGTTAACATCCAACTCAGACGATCGTTAATTTTTAATAGAAAATGACGAATTTGGAACATAACAAATAGTCGAGTGACCATTTTATAACTTCTAATGGTTGAGGGACTCAATAAAGCAATGTTCTATAGTTGGGGACCATTTTGTAACTTTTAAATGCCGGAGACTCAACAAAGCAATGTCCTATAATTAGAGGACCGTTTAATAGTCATGAGACTCAACAATACAATATCGTATTGTCGGTGGATCATTTGTGTACTTTACCATAATTTTTATCGATTAAGAAAATATTTTAACTATTCAAATTTATATAATGAATTCATTATGATTTATAATCGTTAAATATCTCTAAGATAGTAAAAAAAATATTGTTGATTTAAATCAAAATTGTCAACTTTAAATCTATTAAGCAATTTCATATATGGAGAATAATGCCAGATCATTGTGTTAAACAATAATGATTGCACCAAAAATACCCAATAAAATGTTGAAAAGTCAAACATTCAGCTTGTGGATTACACCTGCTAAAATATATGGCTCATCTAAACTTTGAGTTATAAAATATTAAATAGTATTAATTTCAATATTATAATTCTGAAAAGAAAAAGAAATTCAAAACTTGTAAAGTTAGCAAAGCAATTCCCCCATTCACGGAGTGGAATTCGCCTTCTTCTTTCAGACATGTAGGACTGTTTTAATGAGACATCCAATGTCACTTCTTTTCTAGTTACACGTTGAACATTAGTTTTAAGAATATATAAATTATTTTCCTTCCAAAAACTATAAACTATTTTAATGTGGTTTATAGGTAAGTTTAAGGTTGTGAGAATTTTAAAAATTTTAAATTTGAGTTTTTTTGTATTAATACTATTTATGAGATTTTGATTTTATTATATGTATAATTCGTGTAAATTCATTTTAATTTAGGTTTACCTATTATTTTAAATATTAGTTCAATCTTATTTAAAAATAATAATTCTACGAAATATTAATTAAGTTTAGAGTAAGGGTGGGGTTTTAAATTTTACGATTTAAGATTAAAATAAATGGATTATGTAAAACAAATTTTACACAACTTATATATCAAATAAAAAGGTAGTTTTGTTCTTCCAATAAATTTTGAATTCATAGAGTTACGTAAGTAGAGTGCGTGTATGTGGACAAATTAGGGATGCTAGATGTGTATAATTTCGTAGATTCCACACCATACCCACTTCGATTGGGGTGGGGATGGATATAAGTTTAATGGGTAGTGGGTGGATGTTGATGTAAAAAGTAATACCCACCATGAGCAGTGGGTAGGTGACGGGTTTGAGACCTTACCCGCCCTACATTCATTTCGCTAACTACCCACCATATAATCTTTGAATCATTATAAATTTAGGTATAATTTTAGAGACTATTATGTAAATTTTAAGAATTTATAGGGTATGGCTTGTAATTTAACCAACTATTCAGCTTATGTAATTTGTGAGATTGCTTTAGGCGAGTACAGGATGGGCAGTGGGTATCAAGCTCGATAATGGTCGTACGGGTATATTTGAATATATATCCATATAGGCGGGTGTGGATTTAAAAATTCTACCAGTCATGGGTGGTGAATAGGTGATGGATACAAAAATATTAGGTGAATATGGATATAGAAGAAGGGGTAACCACATCTTTCCAGCCTGTTTGTCATCTTTACGATAAATACTATTTCATAATCACTTACAACATTTAATTATATATATATCAAATAATAATCTTTATAAAATGATTCTTGAAACTAAATTTCAGGTTCAAATTAAACAAATATAGCATTACAAACATTAAAATCAAGAACATGTTTCCCAAAGCATTAAGGTAGACGAACGAAGAGCAAGGGAGTGAATTGCGCCGATCAGTCCGTGGAGTACTTTTCACATTTTGTCAAATGTTTTGAGCATTCTTCACCTTTTACATTTAAACAACTAACTATTTTCTTTCCTTTTCCCACTAAAAAGAATTCTCTATCTTTTTCAATTATACTTTAACTCTTTCAGATTACTCGGATCAAATCCATATTATTTGTTTGATTTACTCTTCTTTGAATTATCAGAACAGCTAATCATGATCTTCATAAATTCAAGATGTTTGCACGTGAAGTTCTTTTCCTTGTTAGGAATGCTCCTTAAATTTCAATACAAGTAATATTCGTCCATAAAAAAACAAAATATTACAAATTTATCACACTCAAATCTATGTTTTGATATATATTATAGCAATAATAATATTAATTATATTAATACTCAATTAACATCTATAATATGTGTGTATATTCATCATCTAATTTTGGAGCTCCATTGTTTCCCTCCATTTCCACGAGAGAACGCCAAAACCTCTTTTCCTTGTAAACCGTAATGGCATTCTTGTTAATCCACAAATAATCACGGCTAAAGTAGTAAATCAGCTCCAGCCAGAAATACTACATAACGAACCGAAACTTCAAGTCCCCAACTCCAATCCTCAGTCAAAAATCTCTTTTCCTTGTAAAACGCTAAAACCTACGCCATGAAACCCTTCTCCTTCTTCTTCTTCTTCCTCTTCCATTTCTACCCAGTCCCTACCCTCGGTTACGCCGTATACGAAGCTAGAGCCGCCGTCAACCCCACGGATTTCATCCGTACAAGCTGCTTCGTCACTTTGTATCCCGACGTTTGCTATTCTTCCCTTTCTCGTTACGCCAACGCCATTCAACAAGACCCAGCTCGTCTTGCACGTGCCGCCATTGGTGTCACCCTCTCTAAAGCCCGTAAACTCGCAGTTTACGTCTCCAATATCTCCCGTGAAGCCGATTACGGTGCCGACGCACGAGCCAGCGCCGCCTTGCATGACTGTTTCTCCAACATGGGTGATGCGGTGGATGAAATCCGTGGATCGCTGAAGCAAATGATGCAGACGGTGGGTCCGGGGTCGGAGTCATTCAGGTTTCAAATGGGGAATGTGCAGACGTGGATGAGCGCGGCTTTGACGGACGAGGAAACGTGTACGGATGGGTTGGAGGATGTGGCGGAGGGAGGAATGAAGAGGGAGGTGGTGAAGAGGGCGGCCAAAGTGAAGAAGTTGACCAGCAATGCCTTGGCGTTGGTTAATAGTTACGTGGAGAAGGGCACAATGTAATCAGCTAGGCCTAACAATAAATATAAAAGCCTGTATAATATATTATTAGATTATTGGTGATTATTGTTGAATGTTTCCCACTTGTATACTGGTTTTGTAAGTTTCGATTTCTGTTTGGTGTGGGTAGTTTTAAATCTTCTATTTTCTTTACGTGACAGAGATAAGGAAAGCTATAGCTTTCTGGTTTGTAACTTGAACCAATATTTAAGCGTGTAATTGTGTAAATGAAAATAGTATTCGACGAATTATTCGTATAACGTTTGTTTATTAAGTTAAATAGTCGAGTATGGACAAAATTTTTATATTCATTTAATAAACGAACTATCACGAATATAGGTGTGTTCAATTCATTTATATTCATGAACAAGCTCGTTTATGAACTCTTTTATTGATTCGCTTATGAGCTTGTTTACACGGTTCTCCTTTTACTTTTATTTTTTTAACATTTTAAATATCTTTGAAGATAAGGACTACATTGAACGTAAGATGAACTTTAGAGTTCAAACTATGAAGCCCAATATATTTAAGGACTTGTGGTGTAATTTTATTGCTTTTCTTTGACTTGCTAATTAAAGAGTAAAAAGAAAGTGTTGGTTGCCGAAAATTATTTGTATATGAACATATTAACGGACGTTAAATGAACATGTTCACAAACATTAAACGAATATGAACACGAACACTAAATGAATGAACACAAACATATATAAAAATAAAAAAACAAATATGATATTAAAAATTTAAATGAACATAAACTAAACATCATCACCTTTAAAAATAAACAAATAAACAAAAACAAAACTTTATTCGTTCAAACTCAATTCATTTACATCACAATCAATGCTTACTGATATTACAATACACTCAAAAATTTTCTATCACACACCATTTAAATAATATGAATTTTTATTACAATTTTTAATTATAGTGATGAAATATATAATAATCATACAATTTTTAGATTATGACGTGAATATTTTCGAATTTCTTGTTTATTAGGAATACTATTTGAACATAATTTCCAAATAAACAAAATGATTTTAAACGATAATTAAACATCCAAAATGATTTGCTCCAAGAATTCTGTTGTAGTTGTTCTGGTTTCCCCCCCCCCCAGAAAAAGCTAACGACTAAAACATAAAATTAAGGGTAAAGTATATAAATGGCCACTGAACTTTTCAGATGCTTGCATTTAGGTCCCTCAACTTTTAAAACTTTCATTACAATCACCAAACATTTAGTTCGTTTTCGATATGGTCCCCGAAGTAACGGCCATTTCACTTCTGTTAGGGTAAATTACATAAATTGTCACTGAACTTTTCAGGCGCTTGCATTTAGGTCCCTTCAACTTTTAAAACTTGCAACACATTCATCAATTACATTCTAAACCCCAAAATCCAAAATTCTTCAATTACATTCTAAACCTCAAATTCTAAAATATTTCAATTACATGCCCAACCCCAAATTCACAATCCAATCACAAAATCTACCATAACAAACTGAACTTGAAACAACAATCTTAAACCCTCAAAACATATCCGTTCGAAAAAAATTTAACCTACTATAAGTGATCAATTAGTGATTATGTTGGGTTTAGGGTTTAGGGTTATGTTGGACCTAAATATGCAATTCAATTTATAAAATAGTTAACTCGAAATTTTTTCGATTTGAGTTTATAAAATTTAAATAAAGTCGAATTGAATTGAATTTTCAAGTTTTTGTTTAAATTTAATTATAAATATTTATCATATTATAATATTATTTGATTCTAATTCAGTTCAGTTTATAAAATAGTTGACTACAAAATTTTTTCTATTTGAGTTTATAAAATTTAAATCAAGTCGAATTGAATTGAATTTTTGAGTTTCTGTTTAAATTTAATTATAAATATTTATAATACTATAATATTATTTGATTCTAATTTAAATAGTTTTTTAACCATATACAATACATATATTTCTTCATATTTTGAGATATTCGAGTTGTATTTTACAACTCGATTTTAACTTTTTAAGTTGAGTTTATGAAATTACAACTCAAAGTCAATTTGTATCAAAATTTTTGAATCAATTCAAGTCGAAAAATAATTTTTTCGAATCGAATTGAGTATTGTTCACTTATAGTTGGTTAAGTCTAACTTTTAAATCCTAAACCCAACATAATCACTTATTGATATGGACCCAAAATGAACTAAATGTTGTTGATTATGTTGGGTTAATTGGTGGGAAAATTTAGCATTTAGGGTTAGGTTTTGAGGGTTTAGGGTTGTTGCTTTAAGTTTAGTTTGTTATGGCATATTTTGAGAATAGATTATGAATTTGGGGTTGGTCATGTAATTGAAGTATTTTTGGAATTTGAGGTTTATAATATAATTGAAGCATTTAAGAATTTGGGATTTGGACTGTAATTGATGATTATGTTGCAAGTTTTAAAAGTTGGGGGGACCTAAATGCAAGTGCCTGAAAAGTTCAGTGACCATTTATATAATTTACCCTAATAGAAGTGAAACGGCCGTTACATCAGGGACCATGCTCCGAAATGAACTAAATGTTTGGTGATTGTATTGCAAGTTTTAAAAGTTGGGGGACCTAACTGTAATCATCTAAAAAGTTCAGTGACCATTTATATACTTTACCCTAAATTTAAACAAAAACGGATGTAGTTTAATGTACGGTAAATTATATCATTCCTCACTAAACTATACTCTCTCTCATATTTTCTTCACTCAACTTTTAATTTTTATAATTTTTTCACTGAACTTTATAGATTTGATTATTTTACTCACTCCCTTGTTATCTTTCTAACGTTTTGATGATGTGTCATTTTTTTACTATTTTTAATATAAAATAATTGAGAGAAAAAAGTGGTTGGATGCCACTATCGACTGCCGTAGATGGTGGTCGTTCGGTTTTAAATTTCATGGGTTGCTTCACCTCGACATCGTGATTCCAAATTCAATCTGCATTTTGTCGGAAGTTGCTTCAAAGCCCACAAATTTAAGATTGAAAGTGAGGAATCTGAAACGTCTCAGTCCATATTCATGGGCTTTGGGATATTTTTAGATGAAACAACCACTATATTCGGACTCAAGGGGTTGAGATGAACCAACCCATGAAATTTGGGACCGAACGGCCACCATCAACGATGGTGGATGGAATGAAAATGGCGTGGTGGCCAGCGACAACAACTGATTGCAAAGTAGAGAGAAAATGGGGGAAAAGAAAAAAATAAAGAAATGAAAAAGGGAAAAAAAGATTTTATAATGGATTCGAAACAACATCGTTTTGGTGTATATTTGAGTTTTTCAAAAAGACATCGTTTTGATGCTTATGCTATTTCTTCTGCCATGTCATAACACTGTTAAATAGTTAACGACAGAGTGAGTAAAAAGATTCAATTTGTAAAGTTTAGTAAACAAATTAGAAAAAATTAAAATTGGATGAAGAAAATAGAAGAGATAGTATAGCTCAATAAGGAACAATTTAATACTCTTTAATGTAAGGTTAAACTAAAATACGTGTCAGAAAGGTATTAGTGGAACACAATTAGGGGCATATTTCCGGGGTAGAAGAATTTTGTTCAATATTAACATATAAAACCAAAAAAACAATCAAAACAATCAAATTGGGCTACCTATATTATTGGTAACATTTTTTTAACACAAAAGTTTAGGTCAGGGGTGGCTCCCCCAATCCAAGGCCAGTGCATACCTAAGACCCAATTAGAATTTACATAAGACTTTACTTACATATTGCCTACCAAGAGTGACGGTGTTGAGATTCGAACTTTTTCTTACAATCTCAAATTCTTGAATCTCAACTACTTGTGCCAACACCTGTCATTATTAGTAACATTTATAAAATAGATAAAATATCGATTAGGAATAGACTCCTTAAACGATAAATGTTAGCCCATATTATTAGTAAATTGGGCTCCTCACTGAACATGAAAATTCAACTTTTGTCTATTTAGCCCAAAGATGATTACATGCAAATTTGGACTTTATCCTCTCCGACATTTGGGTTTCTTTTTGGAATAATAAAATTATAGCTCATAATAATCATGTTTGTTGGAAAAAGTTCAAACTATAATTTTTGGAATTGTTGGATTTGGATGCGAATCAGATAGGGGAGAGACCCACATGAAATCTTATAAACAAATTAAATATTAAATTATTTTGTGAGGTTGGTATTTGTCTATTTTGACATCGCTATTTGTCCTCAAATTGATTGTTTTTAATTATTGACTTTAAAATTTTAAAATCCTTAACAAACATTTTCTAATTTAAAATAATTTTTCAAATAATTTAAATATTGAAGTGGAAGCTTTGTAACTTTATTTCAAGTTATATGGATCTATATTTGATGTTATCTGTATATTTATTTGTAAGAACTTTAATTTTTTTTATCGATGCGTGGTATCATATATGATTAATTTATATAATGATAATACATTAAATACAAACAGGATAATAGCTCGAAATCCTTGAAAGATATAATAACTTTATGTTTACCTTTGGACTTTATGCATGGGTCTCGTTTTTGGTAGGACATCATGTCAACAAATTACATGTACAAACATTAAATAAATGTGAGACGATAATTTATCTAATTTTCTAAGTGATAAAAAATATTATTTTCGTTAGAAATTATGAATTCGAATAATTACATCTACATAGTATATGCATTATCAAAAAATAATTAAAAAATATTTTTTTAAGTCTAATCAAATTTTAATCATCCATAATAGATATCATTATAATTACACTTTCTGATAGAGGTGCCATGTCATATCTCACACACGTACTCCTATATATGTTGTTGGAGAATGAACCGGTGACTTTGATCTATTTCATGTTGGAAATATGTCCATTGAAATAATGGGAAACAAAACAAGAACATAAAAGATAAAAAGTGCAATCGACATTCCTCAACGAACTAATTATTTGAGTTTATATGCCACTAAATTTCAGCCTCTAATTTTTCATTCTTTTTCTAAGAAATAGTCCTACGATTCCCACTACATGTATATTTCTTAATATGTCCATGAAATATATATTCTTATTTCAAATATAAAGTTTTTTTAATGGTATATAATAATTATAAGATAATATATGTTCATAATATTTTAATCTATTGATAACATACATAAACTTTACAGATATCGTTGCTCAAATTCGAGTCCTTAGTAAATAACAACATTCTCATTTATCACTAATACCACTAGATGAGTTCCTTTCAAACATGAAGTTTAAATCAATTATTTTATATATTTATTTTTAGTATAAAATACACAAATGGTCCCCCCGACTCTGAGAGGTGCTTTCTTGAGTCCCTCTACTATTGAAAGTTACAAAACGATCCTCTGACTATAAGGCATTGCTTTATTGAGTTCCCCTACTATTAAAAGTTACAAAATAGTCACTCGACTATTCATATGTTCCAAACTTGTCATTTTCCGTTAAAAAATTGACAACTGTTTGAGTTAGACATTAACATGTTCATTGGAATATGATAAAATCTGACTCATAATTGTTTGAGTTGTATTTTGTGGATCGAGTCTTTGTTTACATTATGTCATCGAGCCAGTGTTTGAAAGCAACGGAGGTACTAGTAGACATCATTAAAATATGATTTTATCATATCTCAGTCAACGAGTTAATGTCCAGCTCTAACGACCATTATTTTTTTAACGAGAACAGACAAGTTTAAAACACATCAATAGTCAAGTGATCACTTTGTAACTTTTAATAGTCAAGGAACTCAACAAAGTAACACCTTGTAGTCAGGAGTATTTTGTAACTTTTAATAGTCTAATGACTAAAAAAAACAATGCCCTATAGTTGAGGGACCAATTGTGTACTTTAACCTTATTTCAATACATAAAATTCAAATTTTAATATCTTGTATTTCCTTGGAAAAAATAACAAGGAAAAGAAAGATTGATGAGCTAAAAACCAAAATCTTTGAAATGGGAAAGTAATTAACAAAAGCATTGAAGAAGTTTCCAGTTTTCTGAAAATTGTTTCATCACCAACCTTTAGCCTCATCTTTGCTGATGCATCACAACCAATAAAAAAATTGAATAATGCTGACTTTAATCAATGTCTTGGCTTTCATTCTAACAAATGACGTTGATTTGAGTTCATCCAAATCAATGCATAACAAACTGTTAATTTGAACTATATATACCGTAAAATGGCAGATAGATAAACATGAACAAATTATTAGTATTAAATTATGAAATAAAATATGCGCAAGCAAACATGCTGGCACTTGATGAGAATTTTTTTTAATTAGATTTTGCATGGCCCCTCCTTTGAAATCTAGTTTCTAAAATTCATTAAATATTAATGCACTTATACCATGAAATAGTAAAGTAAACTGGTTGGGATTTGGTAGGGTATGCTTGGAAGCAACTGCAAGGAATATTAATAGGTAGCTTTGAATTATCTTAGAGAATAAAAATATGTATTTGATTTTGATAATTAGTTATTTTAAGTACGAAATGGTCAGTTTAGCCCCATGCTTAGAGCTACACAAAATTAAAATTGGCCACTTGTTTTTGCCATGCAAAACTTGACTCAAAACAGTGCTAACCTAACACATTATCTAAATCTATTATCTTATATAAAGAATCAAAATAAAAGAGCTGCTGAAATGTTTAAAAGAAAGCTTTTTCAAAGATCAAGAATTCTGGAATTTTGTTGCAGGTTCTAATGTGAGCTGGAGTGTTACTAGAATTTTAAAATTACGTCCTATTGCACTCACCGTGTTATCATCTTCTGGTTATCTTAGGTTTAATGACATTTGGGAATCTATTCGAATCAAAAGGGAGAAAGTTCCCTGACAGAATCTGATCTGGTTTCCCATGCACATTCCTAAATTCAGTTTGATTGCTTGGATGTCTTTGTTAAACAGATTACCAACAAGAGATCGGCTACTCAAAATGGGAATTTCCACTGAAGGGACCTGTGTTAACTGCAGTAATTATCAGGAGACAAGAAATCACCTTTTATGTCAATGCTCTCTTGTTGTTCGACTTTGGAGCTCTGTCCTATTGCTTAATGGCTTGAAGAATGCTTCATCTTCATGGGAAGAAATGGTTACTCGGGCTTCTTCATCTTGGAAAGGGAAATCATTGCTCACCACAATCCTGAAGATTGCTTGGACTGCCTATATCTACACATTGTGGGAGGAAAGGAATCGTAGAATCTTCCAAGGTCGTCACAGATCAACTGAAGAATTGCTCAAGGTTATTATTGAAGCTGTGCGAATTCAACTAAAGGGTAAAAATATTAATAGAGCTGATAGAATAAACTCTAACCTTTGTATTAATTGGGGTATTACTTAAACCAATCATTGTCTTTTATAAGTAGTTTGTTGTTAAATTTGCTCTGATTGGTTGATTGTTTTGTAGCAGAACTTTGCTATTCTAGATAATAAAATTTGATTTATCCAAAAAAGTAGTAAAAGTAATAGCTAATTTCTATTATGTGCAATGGCTTATTTCTGTGTTGGAACATATAATGTAATACTCTAATTTGATTTAGAAAATTGATCGAATTTACAGTATTACATTAGATCACCAAAGTAATCAACAATAGATATAATATAATACATTATAATGTAATAAAAATATAATATTATAAAAGTGGAGCTCTAATATTTTAAAAACATGATACATTGTAATGAAATCCGAAAAATTTATTAAGTTAAAAAGAAAATATGAATTGATGATCTTGATATGGACTAATTGAGTATTTTTTTTATAAAAGATGAAATAATAAAATATATGAGAATATGATAAAAGTTAAAAGGAAAAAAATCAAACTACCTTTTTGTTTAAGCTATAAGAAAGCTAATTTGAAAATGACATTTTATAAGATGGTTATATATGTGAATTTTGATAAAATAAAATAATTTTTTTTTGATATTTTATAAAGAATAACGTGAGTCATTGGATCAAATAGTGCAAGTTTAATGCTGGCCATTGAAAATCATGAAGGGTAAAAGAGAAAAAATGTGAAGATTTTTGTATGCGATTTAATGAGTCATTGGATCAATTCTTCCATGACTAGTCTTGTTCATTGGATTAAATTAAAGGGGGAAATTCTAGATAAATGAAGAGTTTTCTTCATCTTTTCTTTCATGTACCAAAAATTAGAGGAGAGAAGTCATCTTTCCCATTTCATTTTCTTAATGGAAAAGAGAAGGAACCCACCATTCTTCATCATTTTCTTCTTCAATTCTCACCATTTTGATTAATTTGCCTATCAAAACTTCATTTGAATCTCTTTTAGTGATAAATTGAAGAAATAATGAAGAGAAAGGAATGAGTTTTGAAACGAATACAAGTATTAGAAACAGAATGAAGGTAAGTGAAATTTACTCATGAATATCTTCTTCTTAGATATAGAAAGTCATCATGTATGTATTGTTCAGTCTTGAAGATAAAAAAAAACATGGGAAAGAAATAGAAATCAAGGGAAAAGATAAGATATCTGTTGAAGAAAAGATTTGGAGACATATTTCAAAGCTATTATGAGTAGAATTTGGCATGTAATTTGTGATGTTCATCTACCTTGAATTTTTCTTATAAATATGATATTTTTTTAAAAAAAAAAATTATGAATGTAACTTTTTTTATGAATGGAAATAATCTAGGGATTGTTATAATGTAGCAATTTATGTGGATGAAGTGATTATCGAATAATATACTAAATGTTTTTTTTTTCAAGTATAAGTGTTTGAGAAATGTAATTGATTAGGAAAGTTTGATTGAATATTATAAACCTTGAAGAATCGTGGTTTTGAAAACATTGAACAAATGAGTGATTGATATAAAAAGTACTTTGATTGTGTTTATGTGTTAATAAGTAGGGAAACTATTTTTAATATAGGTTGTCTAAAAATTAAACTTTATAATTTTATTTATTTTATTTATTTTAATTCTAAACTTAAATTCTAAAACCTTAAATCTTAAATTTTAAATATGAATATGGTGTATGATATTCAAATAAATAAAACTATGAAATTTAAATTTTACATGCTGAGTATTAATATCGAATAGAGAAACCAAAAGGATATTTTATTTCCATAAAATATGTATTTAAAGCATTTTGAATATTGTTTTGACAATATAAAGAATTTTGAAATTTCGTATAAATTGTGGGTACATGAATTACATATATTAAGCTCTCATTCATTATTTGTTTTATTTATTATTATATACTACAAATTTAATCACCATTAATTTTTAATCATAAATATAATTTATATTATTTATAGATGAAACTTATATATATATTAAAATAATAGATAAAATTAAAAAAAACTAGATTTTAACTCAATGAGACATCATTGAAATCATGTTTTTATTAGTATGTCAAAATTGATTCGAATTAAAAATGAATATAGTTAGTATGTCAAAAGGGCTACAATTTTTGTTGAAGTTTATTAAGGGCTACAAAGGTTATAATATACTAAATGAAATATTTATAAGTCACTTTTCTTTTACATGATATATATATATAGGGAATACAATTTTTATATTTATTAATGAATATTGGATTTATGGTGAATGTGATTTTACATGCCTAATTTAGAGATATTTCTAAAAAGTATATGCTTTTTTACTCAGTTTTATTTTCTTAAATGTTGATGAATGTTCATATTAAATTTGTTTGAGTTGAAATATGATTTGTTTTTCTCATGATTATGTATATAATCGAATTGTGTTTATAAATTAAATAAAAAGGTGAATCGAAATTATATGAATATCACAGAGTATGATTGTTGAATTTAAACAAATCAGAGTCACACCAACCTTGACAATACATACGTGCCATGCATGTAGTTGTTTGAATCTAAAATTTATAAGGAGAAGAGAATAACATTTTCTTTTTCCAAATTTTATGGTGTTTGATTACTATGAAATAATAAAGTTTAGGGAAAACTACACATTTAGTACCTTAACTATCACATTTGTTCCATTTTGGTTATCCAACTAACTTTTTTAGAAATATACCTAACGTTACGTTTTGGTTTCATTTTTGTCATCTACCGTTACAAAATTAACAGAACCGCTGGCATGACATTTATAATTTTTCAATAATGATATGACATTATCTTATGGTGGCACATTAGCATCACCTAACTATGGGTGACCTGGGTGACCAAAATGAAACTGTAATCACTATTTTTCAACTGGGCCTCAAGTCCAACCCAAACATAAACACCCAATTAAAATAGAGCCCATCTACAAAATTAAACCAAAACACCCAAACAAAACCCGACTCGGGACCAAACCAAACCTGACCCGAACCCAAATTGGAGCCTAACCTAGACCTAACCCTATTGTAGCTGCCCCCAATCCCCTATCAATTGTTGTCGGTCTCTGCACCAACCAGAGGAGGGCCACGCTCAGCTCCACCAACACTCCACGCAAGCTCAGAGCCAGCAAAAAAAAAAGCAATTTATCATTTCAATTTCTATTGAAAATGGGTATAAAACCCAGGAAAAAATCTGTAAAAGGAAACTCTCGGTTCTTGATAGACCCAGAAGCAATAAACAAAGATTAAAAGGTTAGTTTTCCTTTTTATTTAGAGCAGTAAATTCCTTTTAGTTTCTTTTGTTTAGTTTTGAATATCAGAGGATTTTTTTTTTCAAGTAGCATTAAACAAATAACGTTTTAGTCTTAAAAAAACAACATATCCGGATAAACGCATAAAAATTCCTATTTGGTTCGGAACAAGTGAAAGTCTTTCTTTTTTTCAAGTAGCATTAAACACAAAAAATATACATTTTTCAGTTTTCGAAACAATAAAGCAACCAAGGTCATTTTATAGTAAAAAAATAAAATAAAAGAATAACAAATCAGAGTTACCTGAGAGTCTTCGCGGCAGCCAGAGACCCAAAAGCTGAATGATCGGGATCTTTCAGGGGATTGTTGGGGTTTATTTAGGGTAGTTTTAGCCAAGGTGTGGGTCTAGGAGTGTAGATCTAGGCTCGGGGAAACTTTTGGGTCATTTTGAGAGTTCTGGCCACTGTGTGTAGCGGCCGGGTTAGTTTGCAGCGGGTGATAGTAGACTGGCCGAAATCAAGCGAGAGAGAGGATCTCTCTCACTTTTTTTTAAAAATAGGTTGTAAATGAAAAAAATGAATAAATTGTATATATAGAAGAAGTTTCAGGTAAAATTACTCTTTGGTCCCCCAAATTTATGCTCGTTTTTGCAAAGTAGCCACTAGCACAGTCCGTTCTCATAATTTTCCCATTTCTGTTTATACTATGTAATTTTTGGTATATTTACAACTTAGACCCCCTACTTTACGCGTGTTTTTGTAAGTTAGCCAACTATAGGGACTCTTTTTGTGATTTACCAATTTTTACGGATGATATATATTTTTTGGTAAATTTATTATTTAATCCCTGTAAGTTAGGCATGTTTTTACACTTTGGTCATGTGTAGTGACCTTTTAATTTTATTTTAATTTATGTGGACTGATTCTGTAATTTTTTCTTTTTTGGTTTAACAGATTTTTTTAGCCTTAAATAAATTGGAAAATTGCCATTAGGTCCCTTTAATTTTTGTGTTTTTTATTTTAGTCCCTTTACTTTTTTTATTTTGTTTAGATTTAGCCCTTACACTTTAATTTGTTTTAATTTAGCCCTTATTATGTGTCTAGCATATTTATTTTTAGCTTGGTAATTTAATATTTATGCAATTTGGTCCTTGTGCATGCTTAATTTATTTTTATTTGTATGTTGTTTTTTTAATTAATCACTAGTATCCGATCTATTGACCGACTAATCCTGATCAGGTACTGCAGAGGCGAGGGCGACCCTCTGAACCCAGTTTGCTCTATTCGCAAATGCCATGATTCGATCCACTGACCTTGCTTAATGGACATAGTGCATCATCCCACTAGACCTAGTGCCTCATCCCACTAGACCAACTAGTTGTTGGTTCTGTTTTTTAATCTTTAACTAGATTGTTTAAATAATTCATTGTTTCATAGTTTATACCTTTAGACTTAGTTCTTAGATTAGGTTAATATACGAATCAGACTTAGAAATTAGGCGACACACTAGTTTTTAATTAAGGAGCAATTCGAGTCGGGTTCTTGCATAAGATGCCCGATTACTCGAATCTATTGTTCGACTATTTTTAAGATTTATTAATTACCAATATAAAAAAATAAAAACAAAAACTTTAGGCTTAGAACCTTTCTAATATGTTACTTTATATAATAATTAGGTTCTTTTTGGTTAGTCCTCAATTTTAGAAATTATTGATCTAGGTCCTTAAACTTTTAGTCACTTAGAGCCCGGTATTTTAGTCCTTTGACCTT